TGTGATCCTTGTAGTGAGAGTGACGAACCCAGAGATAGAAGAAAGAACAGACGAAGTAAGTTTTTTTCGAGGCCAAGGGGCAGAAGTTCATTTTAGTCGAGGGAGGAAAAGAGCAGCTGCGACCCACTTGTGCTCATGCACACCGAGCTTTGGAAGTCAGCCCCAGCTTCTTGTTGGAGAAGGGGAAGGAACTTCTGACCAAAGACGAACTTTTGTACGTCACTGCTTCGGAAGACCTGCCAGTAGAGAAGACCAAGAGAGAACAAACCCAGAAAGAGGAGATTTCGTCGTCGGACGACTTGGGAGCTTCGGACAGCGAAGGAGAGGATGCCGTCATGAACCTGCTGTTGAAAGCTCAAGGCAGCAGGCCAAAAAAGGCTACCAGTTCCGTGTCAAAGAGAAAAGACAGCGAGTCCAAGACGGTGAGGTACCCGCTCCTAGAAGGGCAAAAGAACCAGAAAAGCGCTTCAGCCGTTGGGTTCGACAAGCTGGTGGAGCGAATCGTTGCTGCCGAGGGCCAGGAGCCAGCAGAGACCAACCTCAACACGCTCCTGAGCTTAGAAGTTCTCAAGTCCTTGAAGGACAAGAAGTCGAAGAGGAGGATGTCAAGCACCGAGCGGTCCAGCGAAAGCGATACAAGCTCGTCGGACTCAGACGACCCGAGGCCGAGAGGCGCCGGGAAGGCACTCAGAGATTTCCGACAAGTGCATCACAAGATGAAGAAGAGACCTTTGAAGCATGTGAAAAAATATGTCAAAGAAGTAGAGGAGAATCTGGGGGGTCACCAAACACACCCCCTACAGCCTTTCGGATTACAGCAAGTCCTTGAACTGGGGAAAGAACAAGACACTGATGTGAGTGCACTACGCCGTGTCAAAACTGCTACAGAGTCAGCTCAGTGGAAAGCACGAAAGGGCCAGCCTGCAGGCAGTTCAGTTGCTACGCGCTTTGCACCAAGTCTCTCTGGATCAGGGATCGTGGAAAACCGGGAGCCTGTTGATGTCGCACGCCGACCCTCTCGAAGGTCCCAAGTTCGGAGGGGAGCCAGACCAGTTAGAAAAGATTGCCTCTTACGTGAAAGCCATGACAGAGCTAGAAAAGAGGAGCCTTCACGGTGGAGGGCAAGAGGACGACAGCCAAGAGAAGAAAGGCCGAGGAAAAGGCAAGAATCGCAGCAAGACCGGGGTGCACGACGAGATCAGCAAAGGGTGTGAGCAGAGTTAATGCACCGAACGCAGAGGGCATCGATGTGCGCTCACTGTTAGGACTAATTAGCAAACAGCATGGTTCTTTTTCGAGATTCATGCGAATCTACAATAGGTCTCGAAACGAGGCGAAGGGACGAACGCCCCACCCAGCTGGGGAGGACACAGTCACATTGTTCCCGTCAATGCTCCCATGGGATAAGCCCCCAGGTAAGTCTAGGAGTAGGAGACGAGGCCCACGTTCAAACGCCAGACGTGCGGCTTTAGAGTGGATGCACACTGCTTGGGGGTTCTTCAACTTTCTAGAGGGGGGTTCGCCCTGCCGTGCATTTGCAGCCCAGTCGGTCGTGGACAGAGCCTGTCAAGGGGTGTGGACTGCCACGCATGAGACTTATGCCAGAGCAATGTTTTCCAATGTGCTTAGATACTTGAACCATCCTAGGGGGACCTTGGAGCGGGGCACGTCTAAGCTTGATGCATTAATTAGTAGAATTAGTTTAAGCATGTATGACCCCACCATTAGTTTTGATGATGCAATTTCAGGGGCGCTCACAGTAAACCCTGATAGGATATCGCTACCTGAGCAAGCCGCCATTCTTGACCCAAAGAACCACTTGAAGGGGGAGAGACTGCAGGAGTTCACCACCATGTGCAAGTGGGTACCGGTTGAGCCTGAGGTTTGCAGAGACCCCAAGCCTTGCCACAAAGTAGATCCCCAAAATTGGGCTCCTCTGCTCAAAAAGTTGTATGACGCCAGTATGATCGAGTTCATACCCGTTGAAGAGGCTGTGCATGTTGGGCACAAAGTCATAAAAGGGGGCCTTTTCTGTGTGGGCCACAAGCCGACTTCAGACCGACTGATCAACGACCGCCGCCCATTGAACATCCGCGAGCGTCGTTTGAACTGGTGCTCTCTGCCGGCAGGACCCATGTTAGGCCAGCTGATCCTGAGAAATGACCAAAGTATCAGGTGTTCGGGGGGATGACCTGTCCAACTATTTTTACCTCATCAAGCATTTGGATTCGTGGTTGCGCAGAAATTGCTTTGGAGACCCCATCAAGGGATCAGAACTGCCGGGGCTTGGTTTGGATAGTCATAAACGGTACCTGCCAGCTTTCCGAGTGGTTTGCATGGGCGACACCAACGGTGTCGAAATTGCTCAGGCCACGCATGAAGCGGTCTTGCAAGAAGTCGGATGCCTGCGAGAACACCAGACCCTGGTATATGGTAGGATTTTTCCCGCTTCAAACACATTAGAGGGACTTTACATTGATGATCACCTTGTGTTCCAGGTGTGCGATAAAAAGGTAGATAGGGACCGACCGACTGCTGAGGACGAACAATTAATTGCACAGTCACGCTCGCAATACAAGAAATTAGGGCTCCCAGTTTCAGCAAAGAAAGCGCTAAACAAGGAGTATTCTTTCAAAGCATGGGGAACCGCTGTGTGCTACGCAGTCAGGGCGTGTCGGGGCGCCCTATGAGAAGCTTCGCCAAATCGAACACCTGGCATGTAGATTGTTGTTGGAAGGCAGGGCATCCAAGAAGGCTCTACAAAAGCTAATAGGGCTTTTCGTTCATCCCTTCATGCATCGTAGGGAGTGTATGTCCGTATTTCACCATGTGTATATCTTCATTGAGAACATGTGTGAGAAATCTATTTCGAGGCTCCCACGTACGAGATGAAATAGCATGCGCAGCACTTTTGTTGCCCTTTGCCCACACAAACATTCGCAAGCCAGTGTCCGTGCAGATATCAGCGACAGATGCCAGCAGTAAGGGGGGGAGGACGATCTTCAGCCATCACTTCTCCAAGCTTTGCAAAAACTTTGTTTCGGTTCGCTGAAGTAAAAGGGGAACATGTAAAACTAGACTGGGTTAAGCATGGCATCGAGCCCCCCATCTTCAATGTGTCAAGCTCCGACTCCTCTAGTAGATGCTCTCCAGAAACACTGCTGGGTGGCATCGCAGGCAATCAAGTTTGATAGAGCAGATCACATCAACATCCTAAAAATGGAAATGTTGAAGCAAGAACTAAAAGACAGGGCCAACTCAGGTAGAGGTAACGCCCGGGTGGTTAATCTTTGTGATTCACGGGTTGTTGTAGGATCGTTTGGCAAGGTTGCGTAGCTGCGTGCCTTGGCTCCTTGCCAGTGACCTGCAGCTGGTCAACATCTGGGTGGCAACGGATTGCAACCCGGCAGATTTTCCTAGCCGAGGGAAAAGCATACCGCCCCCAAGTAAAAGTAGCGAGGACCCCCCTTCTGGATCTTCAGACTTTGAATGCTGTGCAGCAATATCGCTCAATTGGTTTCCAATATTGTCTTGAAAGGGAAGCTAGGGTGGCTGGCGTATAGACCCATTTGGCAGCCAGTCCGGTCCCATGTCCAACCCTTCGACACCCCACTCAAACCGGCTGCAAGAAACCCTTCGAAGCCCGCAGCCCCACAGCACTGAAAGTAACAACAGGTCCAGATGCAGGTCCGTTTTGATGGCGAATCAGGAGAGCCGTCCAGCAGATGTCGCCAGACCCGTTTTCCGCGAGATTTTTGCGAGAAAAATGCGGCTCACGGAGGCGGTGACGCAAGGTGGCGCCTTCACTGCAGGCGAACCTGTCGGCAACAAGAAAGACAAAGAACAAGGAGTTTCAGTGAACCTTTTTAACTCGAAGACCTTTTCAAAACTCAAAGGTGAAGCAGCCAGGCCAAATCAGCTGTGGCACTTTGCAATGCCTGGTTCGTCCTTTTCGGTTTTGCAGCATTCAACTGGGGGGCACGAGGCGTGCCAGCAAACCACAGGGAAACCATGCCTTGCCCAGAGAAATTGAAGGTAACCTTTTGTTGGATCGTGTCATGACCCTCATTAGAATTCTAGAGGCAGCGGGTAGTACATGGACTCTTGAAAACCCCCTTACTTCTTACCGGTGAAAAATGCCATCCATAGAAAAGAAAATGCGCGAGCAACGTTGCCATGAAGTTCATTTACACCAGTGTAGTTATGGACTCATGCTCCGGGACAGCCAAGGACGCTATGGGCCCTGTAAGAAACCCACAAGGATTATAGGAAATCTCCACACACTGAAAGATTTAGCACAGTCATGCACGTGTAAGAAGCAGCATGTGCATGCTGTTGGTGGAGTTCGGACGCCAAGTGGCTGGAGACGCCGTTCTGATTTGGGGGGGGCATTACCCCCTGCAGTTGCGCCGCCGATACACCAGCGCAGCAAACCAGGCATTTTGGACTTAACGTAATGGTGGTTGTCCCATTCAGTTTTTTTGCAGTTTTTTAAAAGTAAAGGTACAGATGTTGTAAAGCTTTAAACAGAGGTTGGAGCAGTCAGAGAAATGAAAGCTGAGCTTCTTATGTCGGCTAGCCATGGGTCAAACCGTACTGCGGGATTGCTTTTTCGTTTCAGTCGCTTCTCAAGACCATATCGCGAGAGGCTGCTGACTGGATTGCGTGACCTCTACGCGTATTGTCTTGAATCAGCCGGGTGCAGCTTTGCGAGGCTTGCTCACACACCAAGGCTTGCAGACCGCATCCTGAGTGAGTATATGTGTTGAGCAGGCATGCGTCTCAGGTAAAGCTGACATTGGTAAAACATGCGCTCTTGGGGGCGCAGCACGCCTTCCCTGGGTTGAAAGGGAAGCTCAGCACCGCCTGGGAACACGTTCGGGTGTGGGAGGAGCAGCAAATTGTCAGATTACGGCAACCACTTCCCATACCAATTTGGCTTTGCATGGTTGGACTTGCCCGTGCCCATAAAGTAGAGGCAGACACGGTGAGCAGATATGACTGGGAAGTGTTCAGTGTTTTACTGGAAATCGGCCTCTTCTGCATGCTTCGCCCCGGTGAACTGATGAGGATCCATCACTCGGATGTGTCACTGCCAGGCTCCTTCATAATGTGTGAACGCCACGCGGCCATTCGTATTGTTTCTCCCAAAAACAGACGCCAGTTTGGAGAGAACCAGTTTGTTTTAGTTAAGCACGAAAACTGCATAGCTTGGCTTGCAAAAATTGTGCGCGACGGTGAGAATCAACCCCTTTGGCAGGGTGGGGCGCGGCTTTTTTCGCATTTTTTCTAAACACTGGTCAACGAACTTGGTTTGCGAGATTGCCGATTTACTCCGGCATGTCTCCGCCCAGGTGGAGCCACCATGTACTTTAATGCTGGAATCAGTATTCCCACTCTGAGATTTATGGGCCGATGGTCAGCTGAAAGATCACTAGAGCACTACATCCAACTAGCTGTTGCCTCACAGGTCATGAACAAGCTTTCGCCGAAAGTTGCGCAGCGGATCAAGCGTTTGGCTCCCTTTTGTTTGTGCCAAGTGCCTGTTGCCCTCGTAGGCTTCGATCTCCCTGACCCACGTGTGTACGTGGGTTGCCACAGACGTGAGCTCCTGACGTGGTGTTTAGAGTACACGCGTCTGCAGGGACAATGCAAGGTCTAGTTGACCAGCACGGCAGCAAAGTTGTGCAAGGTGGCGCCTTGGCCGGCTCACCTTTCCGCCAGCTTTCTGAAGAACAG